CCTGGCTCCGTGCACCATCTTTGCTTCTTCCTGAGGGGCTGCAGAGCTCCATTCGAGTGTGGAGCTACTTCCCGGTCTGGGCTGCCACGCTGGTGGGATCCCAGTGCTTTTGTTCGTTTGTTCGTTTTGAATTGTTTGTTTGATTTCTTTTCCTTTTATTGAGTTGGGAGCCCTTTCTGGCCAGGCGGAGCTGCGTGGCAAGGAACTCCCCTTCAGCTTCCACAGACATGCAGAGGGATCCCTGAGAACATTTCTTTATTCATTGGTTTATTTTTTTTTCTGTTTTTTTCGGCGGCCGTTCTTGTTCTTTTTTTTTTTAATTTCTTTTGTTTTCTTTTCCCTCTTTTTCCCTTTTTGTCTTTCTTCATTGCTCAGTTTCTTGTCTCTCTACAACTTCCTTCTCTTTTTGATCCCTGAATACCAGGCATTGTATACCTCTACACCTTCTAGCCAGGCTGTATTGCGACACCTGAGAGCGACTTCCCTGACCTCATAGCTGCATCAGTGGGATCCCTGGGAACTTTCCGGTTCTTTAACATTTCTGATTTTTATTTATTCATTCTTTTCTTTTCTTCATCATCCCCTTTCTGTTTTTCTCCATTTCATAGTCTCTCATCTCTCCAGTCCAACGGCAAGCTCCCCCAGCATTCTTTTCTGTTTGTTTGTATGTTTTTGGCTCCTGTTCCTCTCTCCTATCTCCCATATCCATCTTAGCTCCACACGTAACAATCTCCCCGCTGCATCCTGCCTACCTGCACCGTGTGCTTGACATAACACCACCAAGCAGTACAGGCACGGCCTACTGGAACCTGCCTGCATTGATTACCGACCCGCCGTGGTGGATGTAGTAAGTGCCACAAACAACCTGTCCCAGTAACTCCTCTTCAACTAGACCTGCCCTGCTGTACCATATCTGAGTGACTGACCCTGCCAGTGGGAGAAGGAGGTGAAAAGTATTGAGCGCACAGACAAGCAAACAACAAAGAACACACAGTCTGCCTGCTCAGACATAGTCAATTTTTTTTTTAAAAAAGTGACGAAACAAACAAATCTACAATCAATAAATGAGAAAAAT